CATACTGAAGCTTTCCAGACACTGCCCTCTGACTCGCCACTTTGCACTTTTTCTATTGAACAAGTCTCCCTGGTGCAAGGAGCTGAAGACTCTGCTGCAGAAATCCAATACAGAGCACTAGTCTGATACAAAGCAGCACGGTAACACACAAAGCATAGAAGGTGATGCAAAAAAAAAAAGACTCCTATTCTCATGCTGCAGCGAGAGACCCTTCTGGGAAAGCTCTGCCAGCCTCAGTATGTTTATGAACAACATGGAGGCACCACATAACCTCCAAGCTTATGAAATTCCTCATGGCTCTTCTGCAGTGCTCAGCTGCTGATCATGCAGGCTGTCGTACTACARGGGCTCTGCTCACTCTGCATTCACTGACCAGGGCATCCTTGAACTTGAGGATGAACTGTAACAGTAGTGCAATCTCCCTGMAGCAGCCAGTCCAAAGAAACAGGTTGGAAAAGGCTGAAGAAGCAGTAAGGCCTCACAAACCCCCTTGCTGGACCCAATCTACATGCAGTGCCAAGAGGTACAGGAGCAACACTTCAGCTTCACTCCAGGCAAGACCTGCTTAGGTGTCAAGCTTGCACAAAGGTCGTGCTTGTAGCAGAACTGCAGATCAAAACATGAATTTCCCACAAAGACACCATGGCTGTGGCACAAACACCCTCAGCRTGAACCAGTTGCTCTGGCTTAGAAGAGGCCAATGACAAGCCTGCAAATGCTATCTGACATTCCCAAAGCTGTGATCACAATTACACCATTCACAATCTGATCAGAGACAACACAGCGACCTGGGGCTCCTACAGGCACTCACTACCAGGGCAAGACATGCCAGTATCAGCACACAGTCCAGGCAACAATTCTAAATGGAGGCCTACTCTGCAGGCAGATCTGATATAATAGCAAGGTGGGTATTTTACATAGATAGTACTCCTTATGTCAAAATGCCAGGAAAAAGCAGCATAACTCATCCTTGGCCCTATGAGAGAAGRGAATGGTGCAAGTGTATCCACACAGAGACTGAGGCTGCACACTGAGAACACAGCTTGTGGAGCCTGCCCTGTTCAAAAGGTTTTCCCAGAGGACAGAGGGGATCTGACCCAGGCAGCCCCACGGGGAACTTCTGCTGAGCCGTGTGCTGGGGCAGGCAGAGGAGATGTGTGGAGGCTGCTCCTCGCAGCAAGCACTCACTCACCTCTCAGATGAGCTGCACAGCTCCTGAGGCCACCAGAGGGGCCACGGTCCTGTAGCGGATCAGGTGCTGCGAGCCCTCCTCCAGACTGATGGCATATTCCCTGCAGAGACAGGGGRATGTGCAGCTGGGAGCTGAGTACACCAGCAGTAACAGTGACTGATGCCTGTGCCACACGGGGAGTGCCCACCTACCTCTGCTCATCTGTTTCTGGCTCCACCAGGATGTTCTCCTGCGGCTCCAGCACCCTCAGAAATACAAAGGAGTCCAGGTTGGGCTTTGGAACTGCAGACAAGATTGAGAGCACAAGCTCAGCCCTCAGTTCTGTTTCTCTGCAGAACAC